CCACCTACTTGGTACCTTGCTACTGCATTTGCAGGTAGAGCAGACAGAACTCCAGGATTTAGAGGATGCGTGTCTGAAACTGAATGTTAAGTTATTCCAACTCTCAAGTTCTGACCAGATGTGATTTTTAAAAAAATCAAAACCTAATATCCTTCATTTTTTTGTGCCTTTAGGTGGAAACATCCGTTTAATCCAGGCTGCAGTAGCATTGTCCCATATTAGGCATATAATACACAATGTGTATCCTGCCACGCCGATTATTTTCTGTGGGGATTTTAATAGCACACCATCGACTGGAATGTATAGTTTTGTCAGTAATGGTAGTATTGCTGAAGATCATGAGGACTGGGGCTCAAATGGAGAAGAAAAGCCATGCAGAATATCTCTGACCCATCCACTTAGGCTTAAAAGTGCTTGTGGAGAACCTGCCTACACTAATTATGTTGGTGGCTTTCACGGATGTTTGGACTACATCTTCATTGATGCAAATGCACTGGAGGTTGAACAAGTAATTCCATTGCCAAGTCATGAAGAAGTAACCACTCACCAAGCTTTACCAAGTGTTTCACATCCATCAGATCATATAGCACTAATATGTGATTTGAAGTGGAAGTAGGCTAAATTCTTGGCATCTATTCCTTACTCCGAAGCAAAAGATTTTTTCAATTTGGAAATTTAGAAGAATTCAGCTTGAATTCTGGGTTAAATATCAATTTTTACAAAAAAAAATTAGATTAAAACATTCACATGCATTATATCAGATTTTTCAGCTCCTTGTAACATGTTGTGATTATACCCAGACTGCTCTTTTGATTGTCCTTTTTTATGCTGATAAGCAAAGCGGTCGATGTTTAATGATGATTTAAACTGTATTATCCTTATTTTTCGGGTGGTTTTTACATGGTGATTAAGAGCATTTTTGTAGTCTAATATGATTGGCCACATAGCTCTTTTTATACAAATTGGTACAGTGAAGAGAATTTTGGTATTTTCAGTAAGTAGCGTGCCCACTCAGTCTGTTGTTACTTTTTGAGAAGGCACTCTGATAAACTGCCCAACTGTTTACATGTAAGCCACTACTATAAACAATCTACATTAAATTTCACATTCCAAAAAACTGGCGACTGCCTTCTCTCATGTTTTGCAGCTACTTAATGTAACCCAAAATTGGTGTGCTTAAATAAAAATCATGTCTGTATCTCGTGTTGAATTTTCTTAATATGCTAACAGATCTTCAAAGCCTTCAATAATCAGTCGGCCTGCTTTGTCTCAAATATGTAACCAGTATCACCCCACAGCTAGAATGCTTAACTCACGGTTATATTTAATTGCCTTTCTAGTTCTCATGTTTTTAACACATTCTTGATTTTTTCAATTTTAAAGTAGAATATCTGTTTCATAGAATAAATTATGTCTACGTACATGAAATGCACTGTTCAGAAATAGTTTAGATACTGTTCATGTGAGAAAAACATGAGAAAAACATGGTAGAACTCTCTGTATGTGGTTTTGATGTGTACATGAGGTTTGCGACCATTGTATTTACCAGTATAAAAAGAAATAGTAATAATATGGGAATACTGCCCTATTAACGAAGCTACAAGTTTTTGGATATTACTATAGATTTGTTCTTGGAATAGCAAAGCACAGAATTGCATAAGAACGCATATTGGTGATCAGTTTCAGAGTGGTTGCCATGTCAATATGCTGCAATAAAAACAGCCTTGTGGCATCTGAAACATTAATGTAATGTGGCATAAGCTTTTGTGAGCTTGCGCCCAGTCAGGTGCATGAAGCATTAGTGCACATATGTGTATGTAATATTCCATTTATGGTCATATGGGAGTGGTCTACTTTTCTGTTCCTCAGAAGTGCTACTGTGTGCATAGGACTGCAGTGTATTCTTGAGGTGCTGTGTCATGGCATTAATACTAATTTGTATTCTAAAAATGGTCAGTGCACCCATTTAACAGTTGGTCCATTGAGCAGAAAACTTTCAAGAAACTGATTAAGTTCTTTCTACTTTCCAAGAGAAGTAGGTGCCACACAACAAAACATCTGTCTGTACATTTCTAGCTTTGCTTCACAATTTCTCTTACCTGGAAAAAGGAGAAACAGCCTGTAATTGCTGCTTTATATCATCACAGAGAAGCTAACCAGTATTTCACATCTTGCTTGCAATAATGAGGTGAGAAACATGTTGCTTATTATTACTGTTAGAATTAAATGTCCTTCAAATTCCAGGAGCACCACTATATTCCAAGATCTGTAGGAGGGATAAGAATTCTGAACAGAAGTTCTGTGGATCAGCAGCCATTGCGGTGTCAAACATGCAGCCCGGGGGCTGGATCAGGTCCCTGGAGGGCTTCTATCAGGCCCGCAGTGGAACTGGCTGTCTGCTGCTTCTTCCAGTTCTGCTGCTGCTGCATCATCATTGGTTTGCAGCTTACAGATAAACACCTGAACAGCATACTCAAGATTGCAACAGCACAGATATTTTGAAGCAAGAATTCAAAGCAAGAGGTGTCAGTTATCAGACACTGTTAAATAAAATATCTCAAGAGTGCTAATGATTTAAGCATGTTTTTATTTTAAGTTAAAAAAACCCTTTGTGTTTGTGTCCTTTATAAAGTTTATATCTCAGCTACCTGGCATTACATTTTATGACACACATGGCCCGGCCCAACAAGGTCTCATTTATGTCAGATCTGGCCCTCATGACAAATGAGTTCGACACACCTGCTTTAACTGAAGTTGCCTGTGTTTGCTGTCAATCACTGCAAATTTAACCTGAGTAACGAGGCTAGGATATGGTGCCCAGTAACCATTTTGTCAAAATAGCAACACCAACTTCCTATTCAAAAGTAATTTTTCCTGAGTTGTCCTGTTGCTGTTGAGAGTGATGTCTAAATTGATCTTGCGAACTGGACCTTCCATTGTGCAAACATGGAGATGCATCTGAAGCTGTCTTTATTGTAATGTGAAAATCAGGTAGTTGTGGGGAGTAATGACTGTTTAGTTTGCAGTTTTCTGAAGTCTGCATTTATTCTGCAGTTCCATTTTAAAATGTGAACAAGTGTATCACCTTGTTAGGTAAAGTGCTATTTTTCTTCTCTAAATGGGGAACTGATACCAAGAAATGGGTCTAGTTAGCCCAAATATTCCAACTCTAGAGAGTTCATTATATGAGACTACGTGTGAAAGATCAGAGGTGTATTGAAGTAAAGATTTAGCATCCATTTTACCATGGAAACTATTCTTCTTCAAATAGGTTTCCAACAGGTAACCCACTTGCTGCTGCAGAGCAGCTTATATATCTATATAATCCTGCGAAAGATGACAAATAGGTCTAGGCTTTTCTTAGAAAGCTTTTATACAATTTTCCTCTGTGCTGCTTAGCTGATGGTTTCACTCTAGGTGCTTTTCCTAACCCATGTTCTCTTTCTAGGATAAACCAAAGCATAGGAAATTTGAGGGGAGTAGCACAGCATAGTCTTCATTAGTCAGAACTTCTCATTAAAGGAAAGGTTGTAAATCACTTCAGCATTTGAGCTACATTTTAAAGCATTTATTTGACATTTTTCCAGCATAATGAAAAGTTTTAATGAGCTTAACCATGTGTCTCTACATAGGAGCATCCCCTCCATACATACCCAATTTGGGATAACCGTTGATCAAAATACTGTATAGGTTTTCATACAATGTTGCGCTGCGGGATGTAGAAAAGGATGAAATACTCTGCCTACCAAAGCACATGATCTGCAGACTTGTGTTACATCATATGGAAGACTAGATTTAGGAAAGGGGGACTATCACTCAACTATGTTCACTAGCCCTATCACATTAAACAAATTATTGGATTCAGTCATGGTTTAATGCTCTCATTATTCAGAATCAGATGTGGAACAGATGAAGTATGCTCCAGAGGTTTATATGGTAGAGTTTAGGGAGATCCACATTCAAATTATTGTTCAGCTATGACTATAGATACCTTGCAGGACAGGAGGTGTTAGCAGCCAGACCCCTCCTGCGGAAGGGCAGTCTTATTCAAGACACCTGTCTTTAATTATCACCCTCAAAATCATGTGTGTACTGTTCAACCTGGCCCAGAAGTGGAACCAAGATGGAGCTGGAAATAAAATGGACGCTGGTCAGAGACAAGCCTGGGAAACAATTTTGGGTAGGTGACTCACGGTAGCTGACGTGGTAGTAGCTCTCCTTCCCACCCCAAAAGAGACACTTAATCTCAACAACTGGTTTATCAGGAAAGGCAAAAACCTTTACATGACATCACACCTGGTCACGCTTCCTCTTGCCCATTCTCCCGAATTAAACCGATAGCCTCTCCTATCCTATATTCAAGGGTCATCAGCAATGTTCCCTCTAAGCTGTGGAGTCTTGTGAGCAAAAATTCTACTTTGTGAGCTACTGGCATTAAAGTTGTGAGCGAGCAGTTTGGCTACTGCATAAACAGTTTGCTCTGGAGCCATCCTTCCCGAGCCAAGACAAAAATGTGTGAGCTGGAGGCTAAAAAACTGTGAGCTAGCTCACACTAACTCAGCTAAGAGGGAACACTGGTCATCAGAGAGAACATTAACACTTTTAGTTTACATCAGACAATCTCATCAAGTGCCATTAGAAACACTCATGTAAACTGTCAAGAGTTTCCCTAGGTCTTTGTCCACCCTGGGAAATCTAATCAAGGTATTGTTGTAGGAACACACATGGCAGACTGCCTTAACGCTAAGTTTTCCTATAACTGGACACACTTTGGCTTGCGCAGTGTGTGGATGTTCTGAGTGTTAAACATTGCACCCCTGCTCTCTATGGGTTTCTTCCTTCTCTCTGGGAAACACTGGCCGTTTCACCGCCTTCCACGGACCTCGCTTCTGCAAGACTTGGTAAATATCGCCTTTCCCTGCTATTCTGTTATTTTCTCTTAGTTTGTGTGTTCCCCCGTGTTCTTTGTGTGTATCTTTTGCTCTTTATTTCTTTTAATAATAAAACACCTTTCCTGTAGTACCACTGTCTATTTGAGAGTTCTCGGGGAACAATCTCTGTAAATTTTGGTGAAGATCCCCTAGTTACCCTCTCTTGTTAAGCTAATTTTTCCCACTGATTACTAAACTACCATTCCTGGTAACAGAGAGAGGAGTCAGAATCAATGAATAGAGAAGTCATAATCCACAGGGATATTCCATATGCCTGGAAGAAACACGGGATACCCATGTAATGAATAAAATCAGGTATTACTTTCACACTGCTTAGATAATTGTCCTGATTGTGATGAAATTCCAGAGAAGAGAAAATGGCTTGTGGAGTGAGCAAAACAGTGTTCCAGTTGACCCCACTAACTTAGGGAGTTAATCATGGAACTGATGCAGGAGGCAAAGGGGGAGTAAGTGGGTGTCTTTTTTATTGGGGCTGTGTGCCTGTGAAACTTTGGGTTTTGGTTTTAAATGTCTTTCTACAGCTTGTTACAAGCACATGGTCCTAGTGGGAGTGGGTGTCCTGGAACACACCAGGCACAAGGTGGGTCAGCTGAGCTGGAGTGTGAGTGAGATGAGGTGTGGGCATAACTGGCAGAGTGTGGTCAGAGTCCAGCTCCCAGGTAAAACATGGAGTAAGCAGTTTGGTGCAAGAACAGGTTTGGGGACAAATCGTCAAGAGACCAAACGGTTCAAAGGGTCAGGGTCACAAGGCAGAGTCAGTGGCAGCGAGGTCAGGAGTAAGATGATGTGTTGCTTCCATAGCCAGTCTCCCCCCCTTCTCCACCCTTTATAACTGAGACATTCATCTTGCATCTGGATTGCACCATGCAGATGCGTGTGCACACATCCTCACTGTCCAGATCCAGGTGTCTCTGGGCTGCTAATCACACACTCCGCCTTCTTTCCAGCATCTCATGTTGAGCCCTCCTCCATCTACATTCCAACTGTTCTGGAGATTGGGGAGCCAAGATGGATGGTGGGATGAAGAAGAAGAGATTGGATTTATACCCTGCTACCCAAAGGAGTCTCAGAGCAGTTTACAATCTCCTTTCCCTTCCCCTCCCCACAGCAAACACCCTGTGAGGTAGGTGGGGCTAAGAGAGCTCTGAGAAAACTGCTCGTGAGAGAACAGCTCTGAAAGAACCCAAGGTCACACCAGCAGCTGC